GGTGAAGCACATGGAATAGGTGGATCAGTATTAAAATGGATTAGGTCATGGTTAACTGGTGTTAGAAAACAAAGAGTCAGCATAAATGGATTAAAGTCAGACTGGGGTGCGGTCAAAGCAGGGTTCCCCAGGGATCTGTATTAGGCCCTCTGCTGTTTGTTATAGGTATTAATGATCTTGATTTAGGTATAACTAGTAGGATTAGTAAATTTGCAGATGATACCAAAATGGGAAGTGATAAATTCAGACAGTCCACTGCTACCCACACAACACATACCACTACCCACACAGCACCTACTACTACCCACACAAAACCTACCATTACCCACACACACACAAAATCTACCACTACCCAAACAACGCCTTCCACTACCCACACAACAACCACCACTACCACACAACACCTACCACTACCACAAACAACCCACCACTACCACACAACACCCACTACCACACAACACCCACCACTACCCACACAACACCTACCACCACCCACACAACACCCATCACCACCACACAACACCACCACTACCACACACAACACCTACCACTACCCACACAACATCTACCACTATCACACACAAGACCCACCACTACCCACACAACATCTACCACTACCCACACAACACCCACCACCACCACACACAACACCTACCACACCACCACAACACCTACCACTACCACACAACACCTACCACTACCACACAACACCTACCACTAACCACATAACACCTGTCACTATCACACAACCCCACCACTACCCACAACACCTACATCACACAACACCTACCACTAACCCACACAACACCTGTCACACAACCCCACCCACACAACACCCACCATCATCACAAACACCTACCACTAACCACACAACACCTGTCACTATCACACAACCCCACCACTACCCAAACAACACCTACCACTACCACACAACATCTACCACTACCCACACAACACCTACCACTACCCACACACCTACCATACCCACACAACATCTCCACCACACAACACCCACCACTACCCACACAACACCCACCACTCACCACAACACCACTACCACACACAACACCCATCACCACTCACACAACACCCACCATCACCACACACACCTACCACCACCCACACAACACCTGCCACCACCAACACAACACCTACCACTACCCACACAACATCTACCACCACCACACAACACCTACCACTACCCCACACAACACCTCACTACCACAACACCACCACCACTACCCACAACACCACACTCCTACCCACACAACACCTACCACTACCCAAACCACCCAACAACCACACCACCAAACACCACACCCAAACAACCACTCCCACACACAACTACCACTACCACACAACACCTACCACTACCACAAAACACCTCCACTCCACAAAACACCTACTACCACACAACACCTACCACTCCCACACAACACCTACCACTACACCATCACTACCACAACACCTACCACTACCACACACCTACCACTACCCACACAACACCTCACTATCACACCACACCCACACACACTCTCCCACACAACACCTACCACTACACACACCCACAACACCTACCACTACCACACAACACCTGCCACAACCCACCACCACACCTGTCCTACACACAACCCCTACCACTACCCACACAACACTACCACTATCACACAACACCTACCACTAACCACAACACCTGTCACTATCACACAACCCCTACCACTACCCACACAACACCTGCACTATCACACAACACCTACCACTAACCACACAACACCTGTCACTATCACACACCACTACCCACACAACACCTACCACTACCCACACAACATCTTCCACTACCACACAACATCTACCACTACCCACACAACACCTACCACTACCCACAACACCTACCATTACCCACAACATCTTCCCACTGCCACACAACATCTACCACTACCCACAACATCTACCACTACCACACAACACCTATCCACTATCACACAACACCTATCACTATCACACAACACCTACCACTACCACACAATACCACACCATACACAACACCTGCCACTACCCCAACATCTACCACTACCACACAACATCTACCCACCCACACAACACCTACCACTACCACACAACACCTACCACTACCACAACACCTACCACTACCACACAACATCTACCACTACAACACAACACCTACCACTACCACACAATATCTTCCACTACCACACAATATCTACCACTACCCACACAACACCTCCACTACCACACAACACCTACTACCACACAACACCTACCACTATCACACAACACACCTACCACTACCATGCCACTACCCTGCCTGCCACTACCCACTCACTACCACACAACATCTACCACTACCCACACAACACCACTAACCACAACACCTGTCACTATCCACACCTACCACTTCCACACAACCCCCCACTACAACACCTACACTACCCACACAACATCTACCACTACCACACAACACCTATCACTACCACACAACACCTACCACTACCACCACACCTACCACTACAACACCTACCACTACCCACACAATACCTACCTACCCCACACAACACCTGCCACTACCACACAACATCTACCACTACCACACAACACCTACCACTACCACACAACACCTACCACTACCACACAACACCTATCACTACCACACAACACCTGCCTACCCACAACACCTGCCACTTCTCACACAACCCCTCAACACCTACCACTACACAACACCTGCCACTACTCACACAACATCTACCACTACCACACACCTACCACTACCCACACCCAACACCTCTCACACAACACCACTAGATGTTTGTGTTTACAGAGTCCCTTGATGTTTGTGTTTACAGAGTCCCTTGATGTTTGTGTTTACAGGGTCCTTGATGTTTGTGTTACAGAGTCCCTTGATGTTTGTGTTTACAGAGTCATGATGTTTGTGTTTACAGAGTCCCTTGATGTTTGTGTTTACAGAGTCCCTTGATGTTTGTGTTTACAGGGGTCCCTTGATGTTTTGTGTTTGCAGTCCTTGATGTTTTGTGTTTACAGAGTCCCTTGATGTTTGTGTTTACAGAAGTCCCTTGATGTTTGTGTTTTACAAGAATCCCTTGATGTTTGTGTTTTTGAGTCCCTTGATGTTTTTGTGTTTACAGGGACCCTTGATGTTTGTGTTTACAGGAGTCCTTGATGTTTGTGTTTTACAGAGTCCTTGATGTTTGTGTTTACAGGGTCCTTGATGTTTGTGTTTACAGAGTCCCTTGATGTTTGTGTTTACAGGGTCCCTTGATGTTTGTGTTTACAGAGAGTCCCTTTGATGTTTGTGTTTACAAGTCCCTTGATGTTTGTGTTTATAAGTCCTGGTGTGTGTTTTATAAGTCCCTTGATGTTTGTGTTTACAGAGTCCCTTGATGTTTGTGTTTACAGAGTCCCTTGATGTTTGTGTTTACAGAGTCCCTTGATGTTTGTGTTTACAGTGTTTACATAGGTACATAGACACAGTGCAAACGTCTTCTTTACACACACACACACACACACACACACAACATATTTTCACCATATTTTGCCTAAAACAAAACCCAAACGATAGTAAACATGAACATGGACAATACAAGAGTTTACAAAAGGTGGTACACAGGTCGGTCTGTCTTCCCTGCGGACACGACAAAGTTGGGTTGTTTTGGTAGAGATTTGCATTGGAGATTTTCGAGTAAAAACCAGACCAGCGATGGCGAGTTTAAGAGGTAAACCTAAGCTCTTGTTATGATTTTTTTTCCTAATGGCGCGCCAACATCTTGTTTTCCTGCGGTTTTTTCTTTACTTGTTCACGTGTCAACTTTTTTTGTGTGTGCGTGGGGTGGAGTGGATGGGGGTTTATCTAATGGCGCGCCAACATCTTATTTTCCTGCGTTTTCAGATTTTTCTTATGTTTACAATGTATCACTCTCCTCAGTTCCCGCGCTTTTCTACTGTTTACGACGTACCAACCTCTTCAGTTCCTTTTTCTACTATTTACGACGTACCAACCTCTTCAGTTCCCGCGCTTTTCTACTATTTACGACGTACCAACCTCTTCAGTTCCCGCGCTTTTCAACTATTTACGACGTACCAACATGATACCACGAACGGAAAATTTTACCATTATGTTAATTATTTCAGACGAGAGAGACAGAACGAAAGACCGAGAGAGTAATATGTACATTGTTCACTTATTATTTGTTCGTTTAATCTTACTTGATAATAAATAACTAGAAAACACAACAACTAGAAACACCACCACAACAACTAGGAACACCACCACAACAACTAGGAACACCACCACAACAACTATAAACCACATTAAGCACATAATTCTTGCATACATTTAGATTTATCTTATGAATTTAGTTAAAAAAACCACACAGTTTATCACAAGACACAAGACTGAATATAGTTGTCTGTCTGTCTGTCTGTCTGTCTGTCTGAATATATTTACCGCAGGCGCCCATACTTGGCACTTGGGTGAGACTCCATATCCACATCCTCCTTGCACTGCTTGTGGTAATATATCGTGTCCGAGAGCCAGCTATTGTCAGGTGTGGGCGTGAAACAGGGTAACTATCAGGATAATGTAGGCGTGGGTGAGTATAAGTTATGGGGCTAGGAGGGTGGGTAATTAAATGCAGGTATGGGCGTGGATGTGGGCATGGGGTAGAAACTCAAAACGTGGGCGTGAGGTGGACACAGCAGGTTAGATCAAGACAAGTAAGATGGCCCGACACTCTCAGGCAGATTAATGGGCTCCTGTCCTAATGAAACCCAATTTTAATGTTGTAATTTGGATTAGAGCCAATTAGCACTGTGGTCTAATGGCAATGGGACCTAGTGAGGTGGAGGAAAAAAGAGGAGGGAGGAAGAAGAAGGAGTCAAATCAGTGGGACCAGCCCTGCCCATGGTGGACAGCCCCTGCCCCATGGTGGACCAGCCCTGCCCCATGGTGGACCAGCCCCTGCCCCATGGTGGACCAGTCCCTGCCCCATGGTGGACCAGCCCCTGCCTGGGACCAGCCCCTGCCCCATGGTGGACCCCTGCCCCATGGTGGACCAGCCCTGCCCCTGGTGGACCAGCCCTGCCCCATGGTGGACGCCCTCATGGTGGCCAGCCCTGCTGGCCAGCCCATGGTGGACCAGTCCTGCCCATGGTGGACCAGCTTCCTGGTGGACCAGCCCCTGCCCCATGGTGGACCAGCCCTGCCCCATGGTGGACCAGCCCCTGCCCCATGGTGGACCAGCCCTGCCCATGTGGACCAGCCCTGCCCCATGGTGGACCAGTCCCTGCCCATGGTGGACCAGTCCTGTCCATGGTGGACCAGCCCCTGCCCCATGGTGGACCAGTCCCTGTCCATGGTGGACCAGTCCGCCCCATGGTGGACCAGCCCTGTCCATGGTGGACAGTCCCTGCCCACGGTGGACCAGCCCCTGCCATGGTGCCAGCCTGCCCTATGGTGCAGCCTGCCCCATGGTGGACCAGCCCCTGCCCCACGGTGGACCAGCCCTGCCCTCAGTGGACCAGCCCCTGCACGGTGGACCAGCCCCTGCCCACAGTAGACCATTGGTGTAACTGATGGAGGAAGGAAAAGGAGGAGGAGGAAGGAGGAGAACTAAACTATCGGTAAAGTCAGTCACATCACCACATAAGGAGTGTGTGGACAAGAAGTGGGTATACCGCTATCCTGCCCCAGTATATATTATGTCGTGCGGGGAATCAAGCTCAGGTTAGGTTAGGTTAGGTTAAGTTAGGTTAGGTTAAGTTAGGTTAGGTTAGGTTAAGTTAGGTTAGGTTAGGGTAATTTATCATACGCCACAAAAAATACATCACTGGCAACTTAGTTAATACAGAACTTGACAGAGACCTCACCGATGTCATGTGTGAGACGGTGTTGTGAGGTCACGACACAACACAGCCTCCACAACACATCACTTGAAATACTTTGCATTGGCAACTCTATGATTTGCTGTCCTAACTCTTTCCTGACCGACTCTCTCACTTTTTTTATTTTCATTTTTTTAAAGGGGTGAAAGGATGAGTGAAAGAAGAATTGGGAGGGTGAAGAATGAAAGAAGGGGGTGAAAGGGGGGGTGAAAGAAGATTAGAGGTGGGGGAAGGAAGTTATAGTTCGGAAATTGAAGAAATTTAGGAGGAGGTAAGAGAGGGCGGGCTGACCGCCTAGCTAAGCTAATGGTGTGTTAGGGTTGTATCATGGGTTAGTTATTGTCTGTCGGTACAGGCACTAGACAGCCTACCCTATCCCATATATGGGTGTTTTGAGGGCTTTATTTCGTATTCCGCCGACCCTACTGGCGGATGCTGGTCTAGGGAGGTTGTCTATTGCCTGGCCGTATAGATCGGGGGTGGTAATGGACCTTTTGAGATTTGGTAACTTTTTGGGAACCATGTATGGTTGTTGTCGTTATCTGGTGGGGGTTCTTTGAAGGAGTTCTTGCTCGGATCGATCTATCTTTTGCCAGATTCTGCTGGCCAGGGTGTGCAGCTGCTGGTTTTATTCTTAGGTCTCTATGTATCTCGGCTGTGGTTCTGGTGAAGGGGTATCTTTCACCTGTGACGAATCTTAGGGCTTCATTTTGGACCACCTGTAATTTTAATATCTGAGTGGTGCTCATAGTATGAAGAGATACTGCTGGGTAAGTTAATATCGGTATGATAAATGATGTCACCAGGCGGAGTTTTATTTTCTCAGGAAGCGCTTTAAAGCGGTATAGTTTTCTCAGCTCTCTTCTTGCCTTTTCCTTCCTGGTGTGGACATGATGGGAGTAAACCTGTCGTGGATATATGCAGGCCCAGGAGGGTGCCTCTGCTTTTGTATTCTATCTGGGCATTATTGGTTACTAATGGATGGGTTTTCCTTCTGCATAAGGGTATCACTGTGAATTTCTGGAGACTGGTTTGGATTTTCCATTGATTTTCGTCATTATTTACCCTTTCTTCCACCTGGTGTTGTCGACCTGTAACGCTCGCAATTTTCCTTGATGTGTTGTTATTTGAGTGATGTCATCTGCAAACATAATATCTTCGTTACCTATTCTAGTGGGAGGCGGGGTGTCACTTGTGTAGGTAATATATAGGGTGGGGGTGAGGGACTCCGCTCATGAGTGGGAAGGTCTCTCCAGTGTGTTGTCCTACCCTCAGTCTGGCATTTCTGCCGTCAAGAAAGTTGCAAAGCAGCTTTTCAATGTTGGTGGGAAGTCCGAGTTGGAGGATCTTATATTTTAGACCGTCGTGCCAGACTTTGTCAAATGCCTTCGCTACATCCCGGAGAGTTAGATTACATTGTCTACCACTCGCCGCGGCTCTGGCTATGTTTTCACATGCCAGGGCTATCGCTGTTGTGGTGGACTTACCTTTCCTGAACCCGAATTGTCTGCAGTTGACTCTGTTTGTTGTTTCCAGGTGATTTCTCAGGCGGTTATTGATGATTTTTTCTAGGATTTTTCCAGGTACTTCGAGGAGGGAAATTGGTCTGTTCCTTGTTTTGGTGTTAGGGTAATAATGGCCTCTTTGAATTTAGTTGGGAAGTAACCCGAGGCCAGGCAAGCATTCATTGTGGTTCTCAGTCTCTCCATGGCCGGGTTGTTTATGTGGCTGAGGATCTTCTTGGTGATGCCTGAATAACCAGGGGTTTTATTTTTGGTATTGGAGATGGCTGTGTTGAGTTCTTCCGAGGTGATTGGTTTAGACAGTGGGCTGTCCACTCTCAGATCCTCCCATATGATTTCAGGGGAAGGCTGAGTGCGGTGTGTCTGGCCCCGGAGTTCATCAAGGACGAGCTCCTCGTGGGTACCATCAAATCCCCTATTCTCTTCATTTGTGATTCGGAAGATGTTCCTCCATATGTCCCTCAATATGGGTCTTTGTCTTGATCGTCACATATTTTACTTCCTGTTTGGTCAGTTATATATGATGACTCGTTACGGCTGCAACCTTTCAATCTCTTAACTCGACGCCAGAACTCTCCTGGATCGTTGTATGTATGTGAGAGTTGTTCAGCTATTTCGGCCCATTTAAGGTTGCTTTGTTCCAGAGATCTTGTTTTTATTTCCTCCCGGATTCTTCTGTATGTATTGTAGCTTACGATGTCCCAACCATGGGTCTCGGCTCTCTGTTGTAGCAGTTGGAACTGGTTTGTGAGGGCTATGAGTTCAGGAGTCTGTTGTGGGTGGGGGAGAGTTCTGTTGCGTTTGAGAGGCGTGGCCTCCTGGTAGGCTGTTCCTATGGCTTCACACCATGTGTTGATTTCTTCGTCTATTTCGTTCACCGGCTGATTGTCTTTGGTCTGCAGGATGGTCATGTCCTTGGCCTCAAGTTTGGCTATTGCTTTTTCGTTGAATAGTTCCCAGTCGGTCTGCTTGGCGATCCTCCGTGGTGGAGCGTTTTCTTTTTCAATCGCTGCTTTTATTTTCACTTCCGACTCTTCGTGCACGGATTCATCCGTTTGCAAGCAGAGAACAGTTCTTTGAGCCTTCAAGGCAGGAGGAAGGAGCAGGTTATAGTGCTCTTCCCTTAGATTGTCTATACCTCTCTGGGACCAGAGGTTATCCAGGTCTTGGTCTTCAAGCATGAGCATGATGAAGCCATCCTTTGTTTCTATTACGTTCTAGTACCTCACATTGTGTTTGAGAACAATCTATGTCAGCTTCCGCTTGGTGGACCTGTCTGGTGGCCTCTGGTCTGTGATTAGTGTTTTCGCTTTGACAGTCATTATTGCTTCTTTGAGTGAAGCACGATAGATCGCCGCGAGTTATGTGCGTAGCCTAGGACAGTGTATAGCGCTGTCAGTCCTACGTTCCCTATGCCGGCAAGAAAAAGGGAAGGAATATCAGTTGCCCCAATGTCTTGGTTGAAGGTTTTAAAGACCACATGGGCAGTTCACTCCCAAGAACAGCAGTTTGGTATGGCCCTCCCCCCCTCCCTCACCCAGACCCCCTCACCTCCCTGCACCCCCACTACTCCCTCCCTCACCCAGGCCCTCTCACTTCCCTGCACCCCCACTACTCCCTCCCTCACCCCAGGCCCCTCTCCTACACCCCGCCTCCCTACTCCCCACCCCCTACTCCCTCCCTCACCAGGCCCTCTCACTTCCCTACCCCCATTACTCCCTCCTCACCAGGCCCCCCTCACCTCCCCTACACCCCACTACTCCCTCCCTCACCCAGGCCCCTCCCTTCCCTACACCCCATCTCCCTCCCTCACCCAGACCTCTCACTTCCCACCACCCCACTACTCCCTCCCTGTTGAAATATTTTTGGGGTTTTGAGCTGTTTACCGCCGCCCCGCCCCGCCCGCCCCGCTACACAGTAGTACTTTCTTTACTGAGCACACACACACACACACACACACACACACACACACACACACACACACACACCTCTTAATTATTGCCATACTAATTAAAATGAGCTTTAAATTGATCTAAATATCAATTATATTATCTGACCCCGACAATTATGACCGATACAAGTTACGACCGATACAGGTTATGACCAATACAAGTTACGACCGATACAAGTTATGACTGATACAATTTACGACCGATACAGGTTATGACCGATACAATTTACGACCGATACAAGTTATGACCGATACAATTTACGACCGATACAAGTTATGACAATACAAGTTACGACCGATACAAGTTATGACCGATACAAGTTATGACCGATACAAGTTATGATCGATACAAGTTATGACCGATACAAGTTACGACCGATACAAGTTATGACCGATACAAGTTATGACCGATACAATTTACGACCGATACAAGTTATGACCGATACAAGTTATGACCGATACAAGTTATGATCGATACAAGTTATGACCGATACAAGTTATGATCGATACAAGTTATGACCGATACAAGTTATGACCGATACAAGTTACGACCGATACAAGTTACGACCAATACAAGTTACGACCGATACAAGTTACGACCGATACAAGTTACGACCGATACAAGTTATGACCGATACAATTTATGACCGATACAATTAATTTACAGATATAGACAGACAGACAAACACGACACCCACAGTAATTACAAGCTCGCATCATTTTTGTCCATCCTGGGTATAACAAACTCAGTTATATTCATTAATTATTCTCATTTCTTACCCATCTCCTAACTCGTTGTTTGTCCTGAAAAAAAAACGAATTTATAAAAAATAAATAAAAAAAATGATGAAAATTGCGGTGTTTTGAGCGTGACGTCATCGAGCGAGGAACTACGGGCGTAATGGATAAGCGAAGCAGGAGTCACGGAGAGGCCCTCACCACCACAATACTCCCTCTTCTCCCTGTTTTCTCCCTGTCTCTCCACTATTCAGGGAGGAGATTATCCCCACTTTAAGGAGCGTGCCACACTGCTAGTTAGTGGCCGTCTCCTACTGTGCTTTTCCCGCCACGGCAGACACTTTCCGCCCTCCGTGCTGCCACCCCGCCATTATCCTTTCCTAATTGTTAACGCTCTTGCCCTCCCAACTTTTGTCGCTTTTATGAATGCGAGAAATGCTAATTACGCGCTGCAGTAATTTTA